AGGAACCCAGAGCTACTCCTATTGCTGATATCACCAGCAGAAGAGTTCCTCTGGGTGACTTTCCTTTATTCTCTGAAATAGAATCTAAACCAGAGGTGGTTCTCAGATACTTGGATGCTTGCAAGGCAGATGGTACAGATCCAAATCTGATTATTAAAGCTCTGCATCAACCTCAGCAAGAAGTGACTCTGAAGAAGACGAAGAAGAGGAAGGCACCTTCAGAAGGATCATCCCATCAGACACCCAAGAAAAGAGGTAATTTATCTGCTGCTTCTGTTTTAAATTCTTCTACTATTCCAGCATCTATTCCTCCTCAAACCTCTCATAGAATCTCAATTCCCATCCCTACCATAGATGAAACTGTACCAGAAGAGGACCCTTCTGAGGCATTAAAACTCAGAAGACCCAGAACCAAACATCCTAAACCAACAATCTCAACAACATCAGCAATTGATAAAGTGTTGTCTGATATTGATCAACACACTTCTGATCAACCAAACTCTGAACCACAAATTGTCCCTCCTCCACAACCAGAACAACAGCAATCTGCTGAAGAACCAGAACAACAACAACAATCACTTTCACCCATTCCAGAAGAACCCCTAATCCCTGAACAACCAGAAATTAATCCTCCATCACCTCAACCAGAGTTTCATCACTCTGAAACTCCCTCTCCTCAACCATCTGAACCTCATTCACCTCAACCATCTCCTCTGGCAATCCAGCTGCCAGGTGGAACAACAATCACCTTGGCACAATTGCCATCCTCATCAGAATCTACACCACCAAATACTCCCAAAACACCACCCAGTCCAATCATAATTTCTGATTCTGAAACTCCCTCTCCAAAACAAACTGCTGCCAAGCAAACCTCTGAAAACCCCAGCAGGACTTTCATAGACTTAACCAGTCTTGACCGTCTTGCTGATATGAAACATAAAATAGCCATCCCTAAACCAAAACAACCAGATGTTGGCTCTGGTATTATGAATTTTGAAACAGGTGTGCAGCAATGGATTGCTTCTTTGAAGCAAGTCTGTCCTGAAATGATTGACCCAGCTGCTTCTGATCAGCTCTGGTCACAATTCAGACTTTGGGTATGTGCTGAAGCCCTTAAGTTGCAGGATATCAACTATGAGCAGGCACAACAGAATTTCAGCAAGCTTCTGAATGAAGTTGGAAGTCAGCTTCTGAAAGAAGACGTGCTCCCTCTGGATAGTGAACCTTGGTCTGAGAAACAGCTAGCGTCAAAGGTGCAACCAGAAGAAGACAAGACCATTCAAGCTGAAGAAAGTCAAGCAGAAGATGTTGCTGAAAGCTCTCAGAAGCTTCCTGCTTCTGATGCTTCTCAAGCTGCCTTGGACAGGCAGACTCTTGAAGAACTAAAGCTGAATGACATGCGTCTGCAACAGAGGATGGATGAAAACGACCAGAAGATGAAAGAAAGAATGGATGTGCAGGATAGCAAGATTGACACTGTTGTCAGCATGGTGCACAAGCAGAATGAGACTACTGAAAAGATCCATGCCATGCTGGAGAACCTGTTCACACGCTTGCCTCCTCAACCTTAGTCTTTTTTTCATTCATGTCTTTTTCATGTTTTCTTTAATTTTCTGATGTATTGTTTGAATATGTTTTGTACTATTTTCATGTTTTGATTCTGAACCCTTCAATATGACAAGTTTTTCTGATCTTAATTGTTTTAGCACATCACTTACACTTTTTGATTGCTGACAAAAAGGGGGAGAACAAGAATTATATTTTAAACAATAACGGCTAACTAGACAGAAATTCTCAAACATTCTAACTCTATTACTTGAAAATGTTTTTTCTGTTTTGCTTAAAGTCTACAGGTACAAGGAAGCTCCTGGACACTCTGAAGACTAGAAGCTCTGATCACTATGAAGCTCTGATCCGCTCTGATACTCTGATCCAAAGCAAAGCTCTGACAAGAAAAGCTCTGAAGCTCTGCTCTGACATGCTGATCTAAAGCTTCTGATAGTCAAAGACTCTGATACTCTGATGTTCAAAGAAAGGCAAAAAGATCTGATCCTGAAGAACACTTGTAATCAAAGGGAAGTAATAAACTCAGGGGGAGTATCTCTCAACTCTGATATCTTTTTACTCCTTATCTTTTTACCTCTTACTCTGATGCATCTTTCTGATACCTTTTCACGTTATTTTCATTTAAAAATATCTAGTTTTTGTCATCATCAAAAAGGGGGAGATTGTTAGAATAAAGTTTGAATCTACTACCCTATATTTAAGTTTTGATGATAACAAAGTGAAAAGATATATTATTTATAAGATTCATGTTTGAACCATCTGCTGCCTAAAATTATTATGTTCTGACTTGCAGATACTCTGATTGATATAAGCAAGATCACATCTAATCAGCATCAGAATTTGGTTCTTGACACCAGCATCAGAAGTTGCCATATCAGAATGTCAGATGATCAACTCACGTATATGCTGAAGCCTGATGAACAAGACTGCGCTCAACACTCTGATAAAGAAACACAACAGTTCATCAGCAGCTAAGCAGAGTCAGAATGAGCCAAGCCAGAACTTGCATTAAGTAAGCAACGGTACTGTGCATTGAAAGCAAATTAATACCAACGGCCTCATTCCAGACAAGATCTGCTCAATAAGTAAAGTTTGTTAATAGCATTGAATCAAGAATATTGCATCCAACGTTCAACATCTCAGTGCTATATAAACAAGACTTTGAAGATTGAAATGGCTAATGCTCTCCAAATCTCTACACGCATAAAAGCTGATCAAAATCTTCCTTCTCCCAGTTTTGCTAAACACTACACATTCTGATATTCTATCATTGTTTAGCAATCTAGTTTCTAAGCTTTAATTTGTGTATACATCACAGTTGTGATACAGTTTTGTAGAAAACATTCACACACTTAGTTTTATCTCTTTGTAAGAAAGTGTTTCCTTGACAAACCGGGTTGTGGTTTGGATCAAGAAGGCTTTAGCAGTTGTTAAAGCAGTTTGTAATATTCAGTTGAATATAGTGGATTAAGACCTCGTTGGAGAGAGGCGAAATCACCTTGACGGGTGGACTGGAGTAGTTTGAGATCAAACGAAACAGGATAAAAATATCTTGTTCATTGCATTAGATTTCAGTTTTACAATTCAACCCCCCCTTCTTGTGTTTTTCACTACTTCAAGGACTTTATTATGTCATATTCAAATAACATAATAAATATGATGTCTAATAAATATACATATATTTGATAAACAATATATATAAAGGTCCTAATACAAAAGCATATTAAGCCAATATTAATTGGCTATTAGGGGTTATTCCAACATTCGCAACAATAAAAACGAGATTGTTAGTATGTTTGGGGTTTACCTTTGAAATCGACGGTGATAAAATCATGGAAATGAATATGGTGTTTAGGAATTTTAGAGTTATTGTCGCTAGAATAGGGGAGAGTTGGGTGAGAGATGGAAAGAAAGAAAAGGAATTTAGGGTTCCTTAATGGTGAAGGACAATCTTGAGCTTTGAGAAAGAGAGAGGTATTGTAAAAGTCAGCTCAGATAATAAAATGCCACATATACTGCAATATATGCCAAAGTTAACGTTTTTCCCTAACATTTAACGAAAAGGATTAAGTTAGCTAACAAAATTGTTGTTAAGACACTGATACATAACATTTATTAAATAAGAGACTAATGTAAAATTTTAGATTACGTTAAGAGATCAATGGATACATTAAGCCTTAGTTATTTATGTTAATGGTAAGGATAGTGGTTTCTTTAAATGTCAAATAGGTGTGATGCATGATGGCTCCTTCTTAGAACTCTTTGAAGAAATTTCAAAAATATCTCATATTTTTGTATATGCATTTTCGAACGGACTCTTATTCCACAAAAATATATGAAAAAAGTATTTTCGGATATGTATCTCCGAATAAACCTTGTTTTTTATGAAAAAAGTGGTTTCAGATATGTATTTTCAAGTTTTAATTTGTTATTAGAATTTAAAAATATAACTAAAAATCAAATAAAATTAAATTAAGTGTCTACAAATTTTTTTGGATTTTTTTCGAAAATATGAAAACGGAAAATAAAATAGAAAAATGAGGAATTTAGAATTTTTAGGGTGGAAACCCTATTATTTTGTTCCAAAATAGAGGATTTTGATCCCTAGTTTTTTTCGGATGAATTGACACAATAAAATTTTAATTCAGAGTCGATTTTCCATAAAATCGAGTTTTTTTACGTTAATTCTCGTAAAGGCCAGAGACGCAGGAACGTGGGATCTAGAAAACCGAAATTATTTAGTTACATTTTATTTTATTAAAAAATATATCAATTAATACAATTAATATACCTTAATTCTAATTGATACAAATATTAATCTCTAAAATTAAATATACGATGCATTCGGATTTACACGTCCCAAAGATATTTTTGAATTTTCAAAAAATATTTTTCATTATACATTAGTGACTTAAGAAATTCCCTTCACGTAATGAAAATACATTGCATTGAGCCCATTTCTCTTTCATGATCCGTAATAGTCTCTATGATTTTCCAAAATTTATGTCTTGTGAGTTTGAATTCTCATGTCTTTCACTTTTTTATTTGTAATAACAAAATAATTAATAAACACAATAGAAAATACCTCTAAAAATTAAAACACAATTTATAGTATTCACGGCTCTAAAAGTTTCCACTGCAATTAAATAAATCGAAGTATTAATAAATTTAAATCATATTTAAATGTATTTTTTTTTTAAAATTATCCATACTAAACTCTGTTATTTTAATGAATTACTACTTGATCTCCATAAGTCATTATTAACCTTGCCATATTCTTAAATTATGAGGAGAAGAGAAATAATTTTAATAAACACATTCTCAATTCCATCAAAAATAATGTTGTACAACATCGATACAAAAAGATTATAACAATCAAAGTGTGTACAACCTATTTTTCATTTATTAATGTATATTTGGAAATGACAGGTTTGTTAAACTGTCTCTTCATTATTATTTGTCTTAGATGTTCTTGATGAAAATTGACTTGCCATCACTGCATCTTCCAAATTTAGATAGAATTTTTCCTTTCCAATCTTTTCAACAAACATTGATAGTATTAGCTTCTCCATAACCTCTAGCCTTGGATTTACTAGTGACATCTATATAATTATACGAGAAAAAAAATGTTAATATAGATATAAATTTCATTTAGTGATTCAATTTATATTTAAGCAAATCAATTTTGATAAAACTATAATAACATTATTTAGTTTAATTTTTTTTTCTAATAGTGAAAATGAAATGCAAAGACATGAGATATAAATGATACCTGAATTTCTTTTCTTTCTAACACTTTATTTGTCTCCAATAATCCTTCAATACCAGTAGTGTCGATGGAATTTACTCCTGGATAATAAACATTAAAAAAGAAAAAGTAAATTTTTATTTCTATGCATAACATTAAATTTTCAATAATAGTTACTATGAAGTTTTTTGATTGAGTTAATGACTGAAAAATAAAATTCATAATAATTGTTTATCATTGAACTTAGTGGTGAAATAAATAATTTAATGACAAATTTTATAATAAAGATATATGGATGAATTACTAGCCATTACATAATATTTTCTTTCAGAATATAAATTACACAAATAATAGACAATATAATCAAGATTATAAAGAAATAGCAGTCAAATAAATAATAAAGATTAAAAGTAAAAAATAATTTTATTTTACCTGTAAAATCGAGTATCACATATTCCACGATATTTCCAGAAGCGATTTCTTCACTTTTAACATATCTCAAAATCCTAATATTTAATTTTCAAAAATTTTAAAATTGTTCAGTTAAGATATATATATATAATTGATATGACAACATATAATTGAATATAAAATTTAATTAGTTACCTTTCTTTGAGGTAAGTAGAATTTGAAAAGTAAACAGGAGAACCAATCTGTAAAACTAAAATTCCTGGAACCGTTGAAGCATTAGAATAATGTTCAACGTCTCTGTATATACCAGAATCAGCTAACTTTCCAAGTTTGCATGATGCAGGTCTAGCCAAATATAGTAGTCCTCTAATCAAACCTAGCCCAACCTAATTAATAATTCAGAAAAAAAAATCGAATTTGCGATCATGGCTTTAAATTACAGATGCAATCACGGATGCAATTATCGTTAATGAAAATAGAAATATACTCACAGAGATCATAAGGCCCATGTCCATGCTTATAAAGGCGACGCCAAAGAATGCACTCATGCAAATGACAAAATCGAATTTATCAACTTTAAAGAGATAAATTGCTTCATCAAAGTTTATCAGCCCTAACATTGCAGACACAATAATAGCAGATAGAGCAACAAGTGGTGTGTTGCCAAATAAAGGTGCCAAAAATTGTAGTGTAAGAGCCATTAGAACTGCTTGTACCACATTTGTCATTGCACTTTTACAACCTGCATTATAATTCACTGCTGTCTTGGAAAATGGTCCTACAAAATTACAAATTTAAGCGTCAAATTAATATTTTTAAATTATACAGAAAGAGCATGCAAACAGACAATAAATTATACCACTAATTTTTTTATAAAAAATTAATATTAATAGTAATATTGTTTTTGAATAAAAATTAAACTTACCACTAGTCAAGTAACATGACGTAAAAGAACCAAATAAATTCATAAGTCCAAAAGCTATCATCTCTTTGTTTCCATCATGAGGTGTATTATCAGTAACAGAAAAGCTTCTTCCTATGGCTATTCCTTCCTACATATGTATAATATACAAAAAAAAAAATTTACTTAATTAATAAAAATAAAATATTGGTTATGATAATAAATTAGAGAGATTTTAATTCATTACCGCTAATGATAAAACTCCAGTGATTAAACCAGCTCTCAACACTGCTGGTAAATATCTACTATCAAAATTCAAATATTGAATTGACCAAGGGTTTAATCCTTTATCTAGATGTCCCACCTATAGATATAATATAAATATCAATTATAAGAATAAAATGAAGTTTTATTTTATATTATATAAATAAAATAATAAGAAAAGGAAGAGAAAAAAAGTCATTATTATTATTATTATTATTATTATTATTATTATTATTATTATTATTATTATTATTATTATTATTTAGAACTTACAATTTGAATTCCATGATTTTGACCTTTGACAAGGTATGTAAAAAGGCCACCAACTACTACAGTTGTCATTGGAGCTACAGCAGATACCCAAAAGAGTTTTGGCTTTTTAAGCCTCTGAAAAATTATATTAACAAAAATAATATTGATTAGAAAAAAATGCTCAAACTCATGTTTATTAATTTAAAAATATAAATTATTTGGTGAAACATTGCTACTTTTGCAATAATTTCTTCCAGTTTGTTGAACTAAAACCTCTTAGTGGTGCGCTAAAAAGTCTTCTATATCAAGCTACTTTTTCTATGTTCTTATAACAAAAAATAAAAATGGAAAAAGAAAAAGTTGAAATTAAAATTACTATATATAACACTACCAAATAAAGCACTCACCAATTGCCTTGTAAATTGCAAGAAAATGAGGAAGATTATTCCAAGAAGTGTTGTTTCCCATCTTATCTGTTAAAATAGTAAAAGAGAATTTCATAAGTTATTTCCACACATTATAATAAATAAATAAATAAACCTTTTAACATAATGTTTTTCTTCATTTATTTTTTAATCAAACAAGGCATAAGATAATTTCATTGTATATAGTAATCTGATTTAGCATGGTAATTAGCCTCTTATTAATGTGATGAGCCATGGAAAAAAATATTAATTTTTAGTTCGAGATACTAACCTCATGTCTATTGGTGAAGATGGCTTCTATCACTGATACAACATTGGTTTTGGTTGAAAAATGTTTCAATCCCAAAATACCCTTTAGTTGTTGAAGGATGAGAATCACTGCAGTTCCTCCCATGAATCCAGTAATGGTAGAATGGGAGAAGAAATCAACTAATATTCCAAGCCTACAAAAGTCATTTCTCATAATCAGCACCAAAAATACACAAAACATGCCTTCAATATGGGTTAGGTAACTATCTCATTTTCTTGGTACGAAACAAACCCAAACAGACTCACATGTCATGAAATCAGAAAAACTAAATTTTAGGAAAAAGACAAGTTCACTGTTATTTTCTTCATACCTGAAAAAACCCAAACAAGCCTGAAAAACACCAGTGACAAAAGTAGTTGTAAAAATCAAATGAAGATACAATGCTGGTTCCTTTTCATGGTCAGCTACAGTTGATATTGTGTCTCCAATTAGTAACGATGCAGCCGCTATTGTTCCAACTGCCATGTGCCTTGAACTCCCAAATACAGCATACACTAATGGTGGCACAAAACTTGAATCTGAAAAATACAACAAAATTCAACAAACATTTAATCATTCTTCGAAACTAAATTAGAAATTCAAAAAATATAATTAGAAATAGAAATATTAGTCTCTGCAATTTCGCGCAGACTTACAAAGGCCAACAAGAGGAGGAAGATTTGCGAGTTTGGCATAACTAATGCCTTGAGGAATGGCAAGGCTAGCAATGGTGAGACCAGCAATTAAGTCAGAGAAAAACAATCTCAAATTATAATTTGGTAACCACTCAAAGATAGGTACAAAATATTGTATCCCTTTAATCAACCTACGGGACGGTTTTTCCTCTTCCATAATCTGTCTAAACGGATCATCAGGAAAAAATGTTTCTTTCAACCCAGATTTCAGTTTCGTTCCAAAGCTTCTTCGGGTTGATAAGTTCACCCCATTATGATGCATCTCTTCCTCAAGCTTCGTCATGGACAAAGAAAATTCTATGTAGAAATGAAATCAACAAAAACACATAAACATAAACACAAACACAAACACAAACGTTAGAATGTGCAAATACTAAGATATGTATTATTTGTTCTGTATTTGTTTTGTTTAGGTGTGTGTGAGAGTCTGTCATGGGTGTATTTATAGCCTTTAGTGGTGGCAACTATTTCGCATGAATGTTAATTACACTAAGAAATAGCACACGTGTGGTTGACACAACTTTGAATAGATTCAAACTTTTTTCACACTATTGGATAACACTCTATGTTCAACCTTAATCTCTGTTTTTCCTTTTTTTTATATATTTTTTTTAAAATTTTATAATTAACACATATTACTCTGTTTTAATGCATATAATTATAATTTAGTTGTGATTAATTGTTATATTTGGATTTTTTTTGGATTATTAAATATTAGTAACAAAATGTGTTTATATGAAGAGTTTGTTTATCCATTTCAACAAGTCGTGTAATTTTCATTTTCTTTTTAAGAAAAAAGAATTTTTTTTAAATAAAATGTTTTTTTGTATATTTAGAATGAAATAATCAACCGTTTTTTTATGTATTAATTTTTAAGTTTACAAGGATTATTTAATACTAATATAAAAATATTACATATATAAATATATACTATCTCAAGTCATATAGCTTTACCAATTTTAAGAATAAAAACCATATTATCTCATAAATTTTGATATATTTTAAAAAAATTATAAGTGATTATATATGGCCGGATAACATTACAATATCCTTTATATATAAAAAGTTAAGTAGTTTTTTAAATTAAATTATAACAAAGCAGTCTTTTAATTTTTTTAACAAAATAATTTTTATTTTATAGATATTTATTTGATAATCTTTAAATACATTTATTATTAAAAACTGGTGTTCGTTAGATACATTATGTCCATATAAAAAATGTCTGCTTAAGGTACAAATATAAAAAAATTAAAATTAATCTATTTACTTTGAAATTATGAATACATTTATCAAAATATATAATTTTAAAAAAAAAATTTACAAAATGTAGTCTCAGCATGAAGTCTATAAACATTTTTTACACCAGGTAAAAAATCTAAATATATAGTATTTTTAATATATTTAATGGTAAATTTGATGAATGTATATATAAGGAGAATTAACTCATATAGCATAAATAACTTATTCATTATTTTTTAATAAAAACTATTTACAAATTTAACAACGTACACTTATATTATCCGCAAGACAATGAAAATGAAACTAATGTTATTTTTGTTAAGAGAAATGCTAAAGGTGGTCAGAGTACTTAAGATCTTAAAATAATAAGTTTTTATTATATATATATATATATATATATATATATATATATATATATATATATATATATATATATATATATATATATATATATATATATATATATATATATATATATATATATATATATATATATATATAAAATGTTTTGCAAATTAAAAAAGATTACTGATTATGCATTTTTAGTATATTTTACATTGTCAATTTATCGTAACTGATCTGGATTGGGTCTGCACTTGTCCAGGAGTTGGGAGGCCAAATCTAACACTCTTGTATAAGGCCTAAAGGCAAGCAACTCAAGCTAGAGACCGTTGGACAACTCCCCACACATCCGTTGGGGAACGTGGCCCTCGTGTCCGCATCACTGACATCTTAATTGCCCTCCGGAAATCACGGGTTCAACATCTATTATCACGAAGTACTTGACCAGGGGGAAGTCCACTTGTTGGACTCTATACACACGTAAGCCCTGACAGTCTTTATTATTGGACCTCATCGTGGCCCAACAATGGGGACATTGACCCAAAAAGGTTCCCAAACTGTTTGAAGGACACTCATTCTTGCCCTCCTCCAATTGATTGCCTTTGAAGGTGAAAGATACAGAAGAAGAGGGGTAGCGTAGCGCCTATCTGCAGATATTGGCATACGAGCTCAAACACCCGCATGAACGCCAACGCGTTTGGGTGAAGTTGAGAGGGCGCCAATTGAAGCCACTGAAAAACCCCCCACTTGAAAATCGTTGAAGGGAAAACGCATCCCCGACTCTTTAAACTTGAACTCGTACATAGGAAAACGTTTTCCCGGATATGTCGAGCAGATCCTCCGGTTGCGATGGGGAATTTGAAGAATCCATTTGGCTGGGGGCCCCTTCGGCCCGAACCTCTGGACAGTTGAACGTGTCTGTTGCATCGTGCGAAAAGAACAACCTTTTATTTCGAGGCCTAGGTGCGACCCAGGCCAAGGGGTCCTCCTCGATATTGGTTTCGTCTTCGTAGTTGGCGAGCAGGACATCATCCCCGATCGAGTGTGCCATTATACCTGAAAAGTAGGGGGAAAAATGAATTCGACATTATCAAATTCACCCTTCCACCGCAGAACAAGTGAAAGGGCGTTGAAGCGGTCGAGGAGAGAACCTCGACCCAAGTCCCCGACTACATACTAAAACGGACTAACCTTTCATTGAGGATATTCAGTCAAACAGGCAGAAAGCCCGAGTCAACCCCAACTATTCAGGGAAATCGTCCCTGACATCATGACCACTGCTCGGGGAGATTCTCCCCGACATCATAAACTCATGAACTTCAATGAACATTCATGAGTGTTCATTGCAGAACTAATGAATGTTCATCTAAGATTCGTCCAGTCAAGGTAAAAACTAGGTATTTAATCTAGAAGCATTGAGAAAATATATTGTTAAGGAGATATGACTTACTTGGACGAATGATTCTTGAATGAAATCTAGAAAAGTTGAGAGGAGAGGATTCACGGGCGAGCAAGGGAAGTTGAAGGAGAAAACTTGAGAAATGACAAATGAAACCCAAGGGTCCCCTTTTTATAGGTGGCTCACACCCCACGAGGTTCATCACGAAAAGTCATCATTGGATTTGGCATTTTGAACTCCCCGTGAAGGGATGGCACCCCAAAGCAATAACCATGTGGCCCAACAATCAGCGACATATCCATTCTCAAGAGATGAACAAGTCCCTGACTTCAACAAAACCCCCTGCGCGAGCACAAGGCAAACGCCTCACATGAAGAAATGCTCGACACCATGGCTGAGACATGTTTACGGGCATGTTCATCGCAATTCGCCTTGAGGGCGAAATAACACTCGACAGCGTGACAACCCCTTGAAGATTGGGCACGTCGAAAAGGAGTTCGTAGAAGCTCCTTGTAGCTTATACACTCCTGTTGGACACCAGACAAACAACTGACCCAGTCGGTCTCATAACTCGTTTGTCCACGAGATCCCCGACACGGTCAAACAGGGTGTCCCCGACACGGGCAACAACTTGTTTCCTTTCAGAGGACTTCAACCTCCCTTCTCAAGTGAATTCTCCCCGGCCATAAAAGCTGAACTTAAGTCATCACCCTTTCACCTAAGGGAAATAACTTGGGGGGCTCCTGATCTGAACTAGGCCTGCACTCTCTCAGCAGTTGGGAGGCCCAATTCGACACCCTTGTATAAGTCCCAAAGGTAAGCAACCCAAGCTAGGGACCGTTAGGAAACTCCTCACGCATCCGTTGGGGAACGTTGTTCTCGTGTCCGCATCACTGTCATCTTAACTTCCCTCCGGAAATCACAGGTCCAACATCTATTCTCACTGAGCAGTTGACCAGGGGGGAGTCCACTTGCTGGACTCCATACACACGTAAGCCCTGACAGTCTTCATTATTGGGCCTTATCGTGACCCAACAATAAGGACCTTGGTCCAACGTTGGGCGCTATAAATACCCTCTCATTTGAGAGGGCCAGGTATTGATTCTGATACTCATACTCACACTTGCTTTCACTCTCCCTAAACTTACTTTGGCATCGGAGTGTCTTGCAGGTACCCACATCTTGCTTTCAACCTCAGCTCGACGTTAACGATCACTCTAATCAGGTACGATCAATAACCATTCATAATTTATTATTTTATATATAATTAAAATAAAAATCAAATATAATTAAAAATCTGACGATTACAAATCACTGCCTGTGTAAAAATACTTTACGTGTATTCTCATTAAATTCATATTAAAATAATTATTTTTTTATAAAATATTTTTTATTTAAAATGCTTAAAGCTATTGCTTACACAAATATTCTGGTTAAAATTAAATAAAATGGATTTTACAAATAAAAAATATTGGATGATTTTGATTAGACGTATGTGCCATATTTTATGTGCATATTTTATAGGAATTTCACTAACTTGAGACATGTACTATATAAATATTATTTTAAAATTTATAAATTGAAATAATGTTTTTAAAAAAATATATTTATTTTCACTGTTTATACACACAAATATATGTGAACATAATATTTTCTTGTAATTCTTTTTAAAAATACAGATAAATAATTAGATAAGATAAGATTATAAGATTCAAAAGGAAAATTTAATGGAAATTTTATATATAGTATCAACAAAAAGAGTTTCAAAACTATCAAATATTAATATGCTATTCTTTTTAAAGAATATTTGTATGTTCCTATAATGTATCAAAAAAGGTAAGTTCCTATTATAATAGACTTAAAATATAATATTATCGTAAAAATAAATTCGTTCTAATGCATTGAAACTAGAATTTTTTACTTCAATAAATGTCTTTAACATATTCTCAGGTTTGAACTTTTTAGTTTTTAGTCTAAAAATAAAACTGATATTTGTTTTTGTAAAGAGAGACTTATTTCAAACTCTCCTAATATTAATAGATGGAATCAAAATCTATCATATTTTTTTATTTAAAAAGTTGTTAATTTATAAACATTAATAATTTATTTATATTTATACATAATTTACCATATTGATTAGTATTAAATATTAATGTATTAAATGTTAAAATACATTTTCTATTGTATTTTCCATTTAATTTTTATAAAGTGTAGATATTAAATGTTAAAATTTCCATTGAATGAATATGTATACTACTAATGGTCCTATTTCATGAAGTAGATATTAAATGTTGAATTTTTCA